GAAAAGATATTAAGATGAGTTTCTCTCTCTTTTCAATGCCGGAGAGTGGGAGAGCCTGCTTTATAGCGCAATAGGGGAAACGACGAACCGGCGCCGGCGGATGAGGAGAAGTGCTCCCCACTCTCCGGCATTGAAAAGAGAGAGAAACTCATCTTAATATCTTTTCTCTCTCTCATCGTATACATCACCGCTTATACAAAGGATGCTCAGTCTATACTTACTATGTCTATGATCCGACTAAACAAACAAATGGCGGTTGTATTATTAGGGCCTATCCAGATAAATTTGTATAGTCGCATAAGCATATGCATAAGAAAATTGATTGGTCCATTTCCTAAAGATTGTATCAGGCTACGCATTAAAGATTGAGATTAAAGATTGAAGATTGGGAATTTGACTAATTAGGAAGAAGCAGTAATCTTCAATGCGTAGTTTGATACGAGCTTTACGTATATATATTGTAGATTTTTAGTATTGGCAATGAATTTTGGAACATAGCCATTATCCTACAATGTGGAACGTCCACATTATCTTACAATTTGTCTTATTCACATGTACTTTAAGTCCATTCGTTTTTGTAGCACGCATGTACTGTTACATCTTTTGAAACTGAATAAATATTATAATAATAAATTATGAATTTTGTCATGTATCATGTTTTATACAGTTTATTTAACCGAACACGTTTATGCATGTGCGTACATGTGCATGTGCGTACATGTGCATGCACGCGCGGGTCATTTCATTAGGATTATTTGAATTGCAAACCTTTATTCAAAAAAAGGATGCAAAGTAATGATTGCAGTTGTTTTTGTTCATGGGACCAAACAATCTATCGCTGCAATGATATATTGTATATAATTTTATACTGTCGCGGAAATAGCCAATCTATAATTAATTGCTTATACATATTTATTCATGTTATCAAAAATGTATAAACTACTGTATAAAAAATAACTGTAAGACACAAGACATGTTTCTAGACTCATGACATCAATAAATCATTTTTTCAGATAAATAAAAACATATATTCTTTATATGTCAATCAAAACGATATCTACAATATTTTATTGATGTCATGAGTTTCGAAACGTGTCTCGTGTCTTTATTACACACACAAACACACACACACACACACACACACACACAGAGTTATTTATTATACAGTAATTTTTGGTTACGTGAATAAATATGTACAAGCAATTAACTATAGATTGGCTATTTTCACGACAATACAAAATTATATACAATACATCGTTACAGCGATAGATTGTTTAGTCCCATGAACAGAAACTACTGCAATTATTACTTTGCATCCTTTTTTTGAAGAAAGGTCTGCAATTCAGACAATCATAATGAAATGACCCGCGCGTACATGCATATGTACGCACATGCATAAACATGTTCGGTTAAATAAGCTGCGTAAAACATGATACATGATAAAATTCATGATTTATTATTATAATATTTATTCAGTTTCAAAAGATGTAACAGTACATGCGTGCTACAAAAACGAATGGACTTAAAGTACATGTGAATAAAACAAATTGTAAGATAATGTGGACGTAACATAACGGCTATGTTCCAAAATTCATTGCCAATACTAAAAATCTACAATATATAGTATATACGTAAAGCTCGTATCAGACTACGCATTGAAGATTATTGCTTCTTCCTGATTAGCCAAATTCCCAATCTTCAATCTTTAATCTCAATCTTCAATGCGTAGCCTGATACGGGCTTTAAGGCCCTTTTTATATGTGACATTTGTTAGGTTAATTGTACTTTTTCGGTTATATCATTTGATTACATATAATCACAGTTTCTATTTGTATCAGTCTTTTGCTTTTCAAGTTACTTGTTGATATCTATAGAATAGAAATATAGATAAAAATAAATACATACATTATTTAACAATATAAGATATATTAAAGATGTAAATATATTTATGCATATGAAAATAAACTTCTACAAGCCTGATGTTTTCTGGCTTGTAAAAAAATCATCTTATTTTGAACATCTAATGATAGAATTAATTTACTATTGTTCTCAATATTCAATATGTGAAGTAATTTGTCCAATAATGTACGTGGTTCACTTATTGCAATACTTCGTTTAGCTTCTTCTAATAAAATTTTATTATCTAGAATGATGTAAAAAATAATATGTAATTTATTGGAATAACGAAATGCAAAAACTGAAAATGTAAAATGTTTCGACTTACCGTGTTTTACAATAATGCTTGCTGGATACCTACGATCATCCTTATAAGTAACCTTTCTCATCTTTTTCCTTGTAATATATTTCGAATTACATACATAATATACATCAGTATATTTCACTAATGCATACATTTTTCTCTACAATCTAATAATATTGCACACAAAGTTATTAAAAAACGTAGAATCTGATAAATTACATTATACAATTTTTCACTCGACTAAGCAAATGATAACGAATGTTGATTGCATTGTAAAAGCCGTCGCACACAAAATGACATGACTGCATATGCATTATGCAAACCATAAGAACGTCTTTATGTCATTTGTGTGCGATGGCTTTTACAATGCAATCATCATTCGTTATCATTTGCTTAGTCGAGAAAAATTGTATAATGTTATTTATCAGATTCTACGTTTTTTAATAACTTTGTGTGCAATATTATTAGATTGTAGAGAAAAATGTATGCATTAGTGAAATATACTGATGTATATTATGTATGTAATTCGAAATATATTACAAGGAAAAAAGATGAGAAAGGTTACTTATAAGGATGATCGTAGGTATCCAGCAAGCATTATTGTAAAACACGGTAAGTCGAAACATTTTACATTTTTCACACACACACACACACAGTTTTTGCATTTCGTTATTCCAATAAATTACATATTATTTTTTACATCATTCTAGATAATAAAATGTTATTAGAAGAAGCTAAACGAAGTATTGCAATAAGTGAACCACGTATATTATTGGACAAATTACTTCACATATTGAATATTGAGAACAATAGTAAATTAATTCTATCATTAGATGTTCAAAATAAGATGATTTTTTTTACAAGCCAGAAAACATCAGGCTTGTAGAAGTTTATTTTCATATGCATAAATATATTTACATCTTTAATATATCTTATATTGTTAAATAATGTATGTATTTATTTTTATCTATATTTCTATTCTATAGATATCAACAAGTAACTTGAAAAGCAAAAGACTGATACAAATAGAAACTGTGATTATATGTAGTCAAATGATATAATCGAAAAAGTACAATTAACCTAACAAATGTCACATATAAAAAGGGTCTTAAGTATGCAGCAAGTGTTATTGCAAACATGGTAATTCAAAATATTTTATACTTTTAGCATTTACATTTTGTTATTATACTATATTAGAAAAGATATTATTTTGAATAATAAAATTTTAATAGAAGAAGCAAGGCATGACGTTAAAATAGATGTACCACATATATTATTGGACAAACCACTTCAAATATTGGGTATTGAGAACAATGGTAAGTTAATTATCTAATTTATTACATTTACAAAGTAAGATCTGTGTAAGTAAAACTTTTTAAGCCAGACAGAGGCTGTGATCCACTTGACGCTACAGATGCTTCGAAGCGTTCCCTCTTTTTTTCTCTCTTTATTGAAAGAAAAGAGAAAAAGAATGCTTCTCAAAGCATCTGTAGTGTCAAGTGGATCACAATCAGAATCTGGCTTGTAGAAGCTTATTTTTTACAGATATAAATACATTAACATCTTCAATATATTTGAATATTGTGAATAAAATATATACTTATTTTCTTTTTTCAGATTAATAATATAACTCATATCATTGATAAAGAAAGCAAAAAATTGATATAAATACAGATGGTGAGATTCTTACATTAAATGTTGATATAACTTCTGTCATAAAGGCTAATGTTCTTAATATAAATAATAATGTTTCTGAACTAAATGTAATTATCCTATTCTCTTGTGATAAGTTTCCACATATTATTTATTATTGCTGAATAAAATGGACAAATTATATGTTAAAATAATTAATAAATAAAACATATATCTCTTATATGTCCTGAATCTAAGCAGTATCTATAATATTTTTTTATTTATTGGTGTTATAAGTCTCAAAACGTGTCTCGTATCTTTATTACACACACAGTTATTTATTATACAGTAATTTTTGGTCACATGAACAAATATATATAGCAATTAACTATAGATTGATTACTTCCGCGACAAAATTATATAAAATACATCGTTGCAGCGATAGATTGTTTGGTCATATGAACAAAAGCTACTGCAATGATTATTTTGCATCTTTTTTTTTTTGCAGAAAGTTTTTAAATCTAGACAATCATAATAAAATAATCTGCGCGTGCATGCACATGTACGCTTAATGCGCATAACTTGTGTGCACACGAACGGTCGTTCGTGGCATGAACATATTCGCTTAAATGATAAACTGCGACTAAAACATGATACATGATAAAATTCATGATTTATTATTATGATATTCATTCAGTTTCGAAATAATACATGCGTGCTTTGAAAACAAACGGACTTAAAGTACATGTGAATAAGACAAATTGTAAAGGCCATGACACATACAAAAATTTTAGTCGTAACCATAAGGCCGTAAGCAAATCGACCAATCCACCACGTTTAACCATAGTTAAACGTTCTCACAACATAATAAGAATACTTGATTGGTCGATTTGCTTATGCCTCTTCTACAATGCAGTCGTAAGTCGTAAGAAATTGACCAATCACAGACAAATCACAGAAGAATTGATCGACTGTGATAGGTCAATTTCTTATGACTTATGACTTACAACTGTATTGTAGAACAGGCCTTATGAGCTTTCTACAATAAGCCGTAAGTCGTAAAATCATAAAAAATTGACTAATTACAGACAAATTACAGAAGAATTCATCGACTGTGATTTGTCAATTTTTTATGACTTTACGACTTACGGCTTATTGTAAAAAGTCCATTACGGTTACAACTAAAATTTGTGTTATGGCCTTAAGACAATGTAGACGTAACATAATGATTCTGTTCCAAAATTTACTGCCAATACTAAAAATCTACAACATACGTAACGTAAATTAGATTTCAGTATTGGCAGTGAATTTTGGAACACAGTCAATGTAATAAAACATATCATGTTGTGTCGAATGCAAGGGTTGCGTTTCAAAATTCACTACCAGTATTGAAAGTCTATAGTTAACATTACGATATTCTCTAATTAATTCTTATAATAAATTATGTACTTGATAATTTCTAAATTTATAAAAAAAATGTGTTTAAATTATTTTATTTACGAGTAATATGCATATAAACATATTTTTGAATATCAGCCTCTGAAAAAATGTATATACAAAAATGTCGTGAAAATAATCATTTTATATAATATGATAAGGTCGTTGAACTAGCCAAACGACATATTATTTGTACATAATTTTGTATTGTTGTCAAAATAGCCAATCTATAATTAATTGCTTATACATTGACTTTCTGATGCATACATCGTAAAAATTTTTGTGATGTATACGTCAGAAAGTTAATGTACTCTAATGTATACAATAATATAGCATATTCGTCACTGTCGTCAAAATAGCCAATTAACATATATATATATATATATATATGGGGCATTCTTTCTCAACTTTACACCCATGCTGCCCATTTTCTATTTGATCTAAAAAATTTTTTAAAATACTTAAAATTTACAGAAAAATGTAAGCTTTCCAATGGCGCGTGGC